CACTTTTCCTCCCCCTATATAAGGTAAAAAGGTGTAAGAGATGCACTAGAGGTGTAAGAATGAGTCCACAAAAGGACATAGACTAGTGACCTGGATGCCTTTTCAGATCCAGATAGACTCTAGCAATGTTCACACAACTGACAGACCACTCACCTGACCCAGTGCTTCTCAGAAAGCATCTCGTCCCTTAAGGGACACATGACTACACATGACGCTCAATGTAACCTACTGTTATGACTGTGCCTTTTGGCTTTCGCAATCAGCAGTCCCAGGGTGTATTAGTGGTACATACTAGTCGAATTCAAAACTCAGAACTCTAAGACCCCTGAATTCACAAACTTATAAAAGCTAAAGGCAATAATCACTGAAAAATGATGTTTCTTCTGAAACTGATAATGGTCCCTAACTTCTACACAGCACTAATGCAATAAATACTAATTGGTAAAAAGGGGCTGGGAGACAGTTCAGTCAAGAAAGCAGGAAGAACTAATTTCAATCTCAAAACCCATTGTGGCAAGCACTTATAATCCTAGACCTAGTGAGGTAGCCTCAGAAAAATGCCTGGGGTCCCTATCCAGTTGGCCAGCCATCTAGACTAATCAGTGATTTTCAGGCCAGTGAGAGATCCAAAACCAAAGTGGACAGCACCTGAAGAATGAAACTCAACACTGACATCTGGTCTCCATATGCTCATGTGCATATGAACCCACACACACATACATAGATACAAAACTATTCTGAAAATGAAACTTAGCCTTTCACTGTATCACTATAGAATAAGAATAAACGCTACTAATAAAATCACTCCACATATTACCATATGCTGTGTATATATATGTTTAAAAAATAAAAATCCTTGGGGCTAGACGTGCAGTCTACAGATGAGTATCTGCCTAGCACTCTGAAGGCTCTGGGTTCGATCCTTCGCACCGAAAATTTTAAAATAAAATATCTTAAATCTTAGTGTTAAACCTTTAAGACAGTTGATATAACCATTAATTGGTCTCCTACTTAGCTCAGGTACTTTAGGATGATTAGAAATGTGCCCCTGACAGGCAACGACTGCCATCCCTCATGTCCCCAGTGTCAAATGTTACGCTGTTGGAGATTGTGTCCAGTCTTAGATGTTTACTCTTGGAACTTCGGGTAGAGGACACAAAGATTATCAATTCGCTCAGTCCTCGTAAAAGTTCTACAGGACAAAGTGAACAATATTTACGTTCACTTTTCAAACAGGGAAACAGAGGCACAGGTGTGTGGTTGCGTAACTTGCCCACAGGAAATAGAAAAACGGAGAGTGGATACAGCCTAGACAGCAACCCCTCGGGGTCGGGATGCGGTCCCTCTTGCTGACACTGTAGCATGGTAAGGGATACGGTACCCGTAGGTAGCAGGGGCTCCAGCGGGGTAAAGGCATGCTCCATGGCAGGTTATGGGTTCTGCATGGAAAAGAAAAGAAGCTCCAGGTTAAACATCTCCAAATCTAATTGAGACAGGAGTAAGCTCTGGCCAGCTAGCACACTTTGGCCCAGGCACAGCGGGAGACCAGGAAGGTGCAACTGTGGGCGGGGAAAATGTCTGGGCAAAAGTCAGGAAGACCGGGACCGAGAGCGGAGGCCGCAAGCGAGCTCGGGGCCACCGCCAGTCACCCGGACGCGCCAGCTTCCATCCGGGCACAGGCGACGAGGGGCGGCCGCCCTCCCTCCTTCCCGCGCCCCCGCCCCGGCAGCCCGCGCGGGCAGCGGCGCACTTACACAATGGCGGGTGGAGCCTAGAGCGACGCGAGCGCGGGCTGCCGGGGCGACTGATCGGCGGCTGGGCGCTCGGCTGCCGGGCCTGGGGCGCGCAGCGCGGTCGCGGGAGGAGGCCGAGTGCGCGCGCGCCGAGCCCCGCCCCTTCCGGAGCGGCCCTACGCTACCGCTCGGAGAGCTTCTCGCCGCAGGTGTGGTCCCAGGCGCTGCGTTCGGTTCCCGAGAGTACCGGCCTGCCTTCACCCGTCGGTAACACCCAGCCCGCTGAATCCACCCGCTCTTTTATCTCCTGCTTCCTGCGCCTTGCGCAAATGCTTGGAATCATCCCACTGGAAACCCTTTAAAATGAGTCACCGCCTTGTAGGAATGCAGCTTTTTTCCAACACTAAACAAAATCCAATCTCAAGCAAAGCCAAAGAGCCAAAGTCCCCACAACCACTAACCACTAGGCCGGCATTGAGGATTCAGAACTTCTGAAAGCCCTAGAATTAAGAGACCAATCCCTGCGTTTTAAAACCCATATCACCTATACAAGGCTAGCCTCAAAGTCATTATGTAGCTGGAGATGGCTTTATACGTCTGATCCTCTTGTTTCTTCCTCCTGAGCACTGGGATTTCAGTCATGGCTGCCATGTCAGGTTATGTGGTCCTGGCTATGCACTAGGCAAAACTCTGCTAACTGATGAACTTAACCAATCAGGTGATCGATATCGCTTATAAATTCAAACATCATTTCTTTGTGTTTAAATATTCAAAGCACACTCCCCAAACTCTGGCAACCACTATTCAATTCTCTCTTTTTGAGATCAACATTTTAGCTTCTAGATAAACATACAGTATTTGTCCTTCCTTACCAACTTACTTCACTTGATGGGCATTATGTGCTCCAGTCCGGTCAATATTTCTGTAAGTGCTATTGTTTCATTATTTTTATAACTGAAGATTATTTAACCGTATATAATACATTTTTACCAATTTCTCTATCACGATGTCTTTATAATTATGAATAACAATTCAATAAACATACACATGTGGAGTTTTTGACAGATTATTTTTAATTTTTGTTTTGTTTTGTTTTGTTTTGGGGCTACGGGCTATATGATGGTTCTATCTTCTCTTTATTAAAGGAACTTCTATTGTAGTTTCCACGGGTCTATGTTAACTTGAATTTCCGCTAACCATGCTTGAGAGTTTCTTTTCTCTGCGTCCTTGCCCAGGCTCCATCAAAGAGGGAGGTCCTCTGGTCCTCTAGCAGTGGGAGAGTCTTTACTATATTGGCAGCAGTGGTTTAGGCGATTGCCATCCTATGTTCCTAAAGGGACTTGGAAAATAGTCAGTAGATGTTGATAAACAGATGGCTTGTTTACAGAGTAAAGCTGAAAAAATGTTCTGAGAAGGCTGAAGTATAGGCAGGAATGGAGGCAGGAGAAACAGAATGAGCTTGTGAAAGGAAAAGGACATAGAATTGATTCAGGGTGACAGGGGCTGGTTCTATTGCCAGGACTAATGCACCAAAAATGAACTAGCAGGAAAAGCAGGTAGCTACAGAGAATCAAAGGAAGAGAACAGGAGAAAATATAGGACTAGTGTAAATAATTGTATCTGGCCTGGGGTGAAAGGCATGAAGTGCCCTTTTAGCTAGTTTCATCACAGCGTCTGAAACAGCAGTTCTCATGTAAGTCATCAGCCTCTCAGGGTCAATGACCTTTTCAGGGGTCTCCTAAAACCACCAGGAAAACGCAGGGTTTTTTTTTATTATTCATGACAGTAGCAAAATTACAGTTAAAAAGTATCAGTGAAATAATTTTATGGTTGAAGTAACCACAACATGAGGAGCTGTATTAAAGGGTTGCAGCGTTAAGAAGGTTGAGAACCACTGATCTAAAAGGTCTTTTTGCAGATGTATCTAGAAGAACAAAGGGAGCGGTTGTAGGGGGACAGCTATTGGGAGGGCTTGAGTGGGACATTTTGTTTGGGTCTAGAGTGAAGTTCAGTAAGTAAAGCATTTTAAAGACAGGGCAAGAATATAAGAGTAATGGGGGAAAGGGGTGATCGGGGGAGGAGCTACAGTGGAGATAGGAGGGAAGAGAAACTAGAAGCCCATAGGTAGGAGGAGGCTTGTGGATAATTTCTTTTCTGGTGCCCATTGATAGGCCCCAGGGCCAATTTCAAACTCGTTAGGATTTGTCGGTGTAGGAGTCACACCGTCGTTCGCAGAGAAGGGCTCAAATGCCGTCCTTAGCAGTAGTCAGATCTGGTCCTTTTAAATTTTGGAATGCTGCATCAGTCGAAGAGTTAAGCTGATCCTGAAATCCAGATTAAACTGATCTCAGCTGGTAAGACAGAGAGGTTAGTTATGCAAAGAAGGCCTCAGTCCAGCTGTTTTAGCTCAGAGTCCCTAAAAGCAATGTCCAGAGTGGTAAGAAGGAAGATGAGGAGGATAGCCTATGACCTATTAGTCCACTTTCAGAGGATACCCAAACTTTTCAGGCCTACAGGGTGTCGATCTCTTGGTGACTGCTTAGAGCTGACATATGATAGATGAGGGCAGCAACAGTTAGAGTGCCTCTGAAGAGGGTCCATCCAAGGAGCCATGATAAAAGTTAACAGCTGGCAAAAACGCAGAACATAAGCTAAGGAGCTAATAACTGTCCAAATTTGTGGGGAATATTGAGACAAAAGTTACATGAGGAAAATTTCTACATCAGGATTAACATAAATCAATGTAAGGTTAAATAAAAGTTAAGGTTAAATGCACTTGTACAGCTGGCTGGACCATGACCAAAGTTCTGTAGAAGACTAAGGTAACTGCAGTTCGTTCGCTGTTTTATTATATCAGACTCCTGCATAAGGAACAAGCACCTGGGATCTTTGCTTGGAGAAAAAAAAAAAAAAAAAAAGTCAAAGTCAGCACCTAAGTAATGAGTCTGAAAGAGAGTGTCTAAATGATATTCCTCATTTCCACCTATAATAAACTTAGTATGCTTGTTTCAAATATTAGCAATGGCAGTAATTATTAATGAAGTAAAATGGTAAACACAATTTTTGGTTTTAACAATTTGATAAGGTTAAATTTTCAAAACTGGGGCTATCACCTTAAGTGACCTTAGCTTAACTATGGACAGTAAATATATTCTATGCAGTCAGGCAACATAAAGTGACAATTTAATTCTAATGAAAAAGAAAATTATCTTTAATTCTCAACTTCAAAGTACACCCAGAGACAATGACTACCTTGCTTTCTCCACAGGCACTTCTCTAGAACAGTTCAGAATATTCTAAGTTTATTACCCATGTCCGTGACTGCATGTCAGGAGTAAATGATTCATTTTACAAAGTTTACAGTGAACAATCAGAATTTTTGTCTAAAATTAACCCTATTAACAGACAGTTTTAGAAATCCTCATTCCATATACTCAAGCTACAGATGAAAGATGAAAGCACTCAGTCATGTCAAATTTGTAATAAATAATTTACATTATAGACTGGATTAAAGAGAAGGGTAAAGACAACACTTTGTTCCTCTTTCCAGCAGGCAAATATCTAGGTCACCATATACCTAAAGCAGTACACATATTTCTTAAAATAATTCTGCTTAAAATAGATTAATTTCTCAGGCATTGGTGGTGCCCACGTTTTGTCTCGGCACTCAAGAGACAAAGGCTAGTGGATCTTTGTGAGTTTGAGGCCAGCCTGGTCTACAGCATGAGTTCCAGGCCAGCCAGAGCTACAGAGGAAAACACTGTCTCAGAAAAAAAAAAAGAAAAGAAAAGAAAAGGAAAAAAAAAGATAGATTGTTTTGAGGCATAAGTTATAAAGGAAGGTAATAAATGAGGTTTTGGCATTCTGAATTTTTTAGAAAGCATTCACTGACATTACTCCCCAAAGCCCTTATCTTACTTGTAGGCTTTAAGTTAAGAGCACTGACTTTGGCCCTGGAGCTCTCTGCCTGGGCAGAGACGAGGTGACATTCTCAAAGAACCACAAGTGAGCTCTGTTACAGAGAATGCTCTTCATCTGTTATCTCCTCCAGAAGAATCTGAGGCCTAGGATATCACTTAATAGAATTATTTGTCAACAGTATAGATACAAAACCAATTCTCAAAGACACCGCTTGGGTATTCTGAATAACTTCCCAAAGCTGTGAGTTGATCATAGAATGTTTGGCATTTTCCTTTAATGAGGGAATATTGGTGGCTAGGACATGGACCCTGGAATTAGCTTGTGCTAAGAAGAACTGAATGCCAAGGTAAAGGGTATGACCAACTAAACTAGGTGCAGGTCCCATTCCAGTTACAGTGGGCTTATGTACAAGATTCCTCTGTTCTCAGCATCCTCATTGGTCAGTTCACGAGACATGTGGGACAGAGAAATAGCTATTTGCCTTTCTGTTGTTTGAGACATTTAGAATGTGAGTGTACACTCTGATGTCATCCATTGGCTAAGAGACTACATCCCCCTGTAATGTGAGACATGAGAATCTTTACACAAAGACGAGGGTTTTTTTTCTGGTTTGGCGTAGCTGAAGCTGGTCAGAACTCTACAGCCACAAGGTGCCCAGGCATACAAAGCAGGGGGCAGAAGCAGCAGACTTCTGGCTGGTCTTATTTCCCATGCACCCTTGTCTTGTAATGAGCTAGCATGTAACTTACGCTGGGGGAATGGTGCTCCCTCCAAGGGAACATGTCCTCCATCAAATTGAACTGTTGGTGCCTGAGGGTTTCCTGACATGTAGATGTGTACCATAAATTTAACCCACTGTACTCAAGCATCCAATCTTTTATAAGCAATTATTATGTACCTTATTTTGAATACTGTTTTACATCAAACAAACCTTAAGGTTTCTTTAAATTTGTTTTGCTTTCCCTGCCTTGGGCTTAATTTTGACAACATATGCAGAAGCGTGTATGATGGGAAAATAGACAACTATAGATGAGAGTGCAAAATTTGGTCCCTCCTTCCAAGCTTGTCTCTGTAAATAAATTACATTTGTACTTAGCATGACTGATCATTAACTTGGATATCTTAACTATCTTTTAACAATTTACAGTAAGTTAGTAACTCTTTTATAAGACTATGACTTGCAATTTTAACCTTGTTAAGTTTGAGCCTTAAAAATTACAATTCTTGAATTAAAGAGACTTTAGTTTCAAAATGAAACTTTAAAGCATAAATATAGTCCACAGAGAGACTGGGAACCTTATTTTTCTGATCCTTCATAGTGTACCTTTACAAAATGCCAGTTTTTTATATGACTTGGTTTTAAAACA